GTGACATGGCACATAGATGACTCCACCTTGGATGCACTGAGTTCTCCTTCCTGTATTTCCCAGGCGGATTTGCAGAATAATTCAGATTTAGAACTTTGTCATGGCCAGGCGCCGAGCAGACTAACACAGTTACCACAGACTAGGTGGCTTAAACAGCAGAAATGTACTTTCTCACAATTTTAGAGTCTGAAAGTCCAAGATCGACGTATCAGCATGTTGGTTTCCTCTGAGGCCTCTCTCTTTGGCCTGCAGGTGGCTGTCGTCTCTCCAGGGTCTTCAGGCGGTGGTCTTCTGTCTGTCCTTATCTCTTCTTATAAAGCACCAGTCATGATTGGGATTAGGACTTACCTTTGATGCTCATTTTACCTTAGTGAACTCTTGAAAGGCCCAGTCTCCAAATACTGGCACGTTGCTGAAGTATTAGGTGTTAGGACTAACGGCATGAATTTGGGGGTGGGTACAGGAGGACCCAGTTTCATCAGTTCAGCCCATAAGTAGGCATTTAAGCTTCAGGTGGCTCAGTGCTGACCAGGCACGTATCAGGTACCTGAGTTGCTGCTCTGGACCCAGGAAGTCGGACCGAGTCACCTGGCCACTAAGTGGTGTGATCCAGCCCTTTTACTCTTCCCTCCCCCATCTCGTTGTTCTGGTCCAAGCATTGTTTTTCACCTTAATTCCCATAATAGCTTCTACCCCTCTACCAGAGATCTACCAACTGCCAAGAAATTCTGTAAGGCAAGGTTTCTCTGTATCAGCACTACTGACGTTTCTGGGTGGGATAATTCTTTTGTTGTGGGGGGCTGACTTGTGCTCTGTAGGTCTCTACATGCTACCTGCCAGAACACCCCATCCCCAGATGCAACAACCAACAATGTCTAAATAACGCCACATATTCCCCGGAGGGCAAAGTTGCCCCAGGTGGGGAATCCCTGCTTTAAGCATGGGTTTTCTCTGAATGCAGGCGCTTGAGAGCCACCGGAGATTTTGTACAGGAGAAAGTTCAAACTTTGTTGTTTCCCATTTGCTCCCTACCCTCTAGAACATATGGCTCATAGTAGGTGCTCAATAAGTATTTGGGAAAAGAAATTCTAAAACCAAGGTTATTCTGCTCTATGCCTTTTGCTCTAGCTTCTCCTTCCTCCATCCCGAGTTTCAGCTGCAAACCATTCAAGCACACCCAAATACAACACGCTCATCTTTTCCACATTTTTTTTCTATCTAACTCTCTGCCTGGAACCCTGCCCTGTACCTCAACCCATCTTCAGTACCTGGTTCCAGTGCCAATCTTCCTGAAGGCTCCCCACCAGCTGGCCTGGGGCTTCCTTTGTGCTCCAGGGGCTGTGCATAGATCTCACCCCAACTCCACTGAGCTTTAAGGAAGAGGGAAGACAGGAAGAGACAGCAGATCGGTTCCTCGCTGCAGGTGGGCGGACAAGTGTGCAGGACACTGAATGCCTACAGGAAGATGAGTCACATAGTCTACAAAGGCTGAGGAACTGGAAGCTCTGGGAAGCTCTGAAGATGGGGATGTAGGATAGAGCTGAGGATAGGAAGACTGGTTAAAAATCTTCATAAAGGAACAGGCAGACCCCTAGAGATCCTGTCTTTCACCTTATTGAAGCAGACAACCGTAATGGATCCAACACAAAACAAATGTGTGCCCTGGAGGAGTCAAATCTGAGAGACTCTGGTCTCAATTACCTAACACACAGCTCAGGGGGTGAGGGAGGAACCAGACTGAAAATCCGGCAAAACGAGTGAAAGTCTGCACCACAGAGAAAAAGAAAGGGCTCCTGTCCCATCTATACATTCTTGGAGGGCAGAAACTCCTTTGTTAAATTTCTAATATGTTCTGATGCTCGCTGAAGTTGGAAAAAATAAAAAAGGCAATACATTTCCAATACAGGCCAGGTGCCTTGGAGATGTTCTGCCCTTCCTCTCATTTACGCCACTTCTCCTTAGTCTTCAGTCCCGCATCACGAGGATGACCACCCTACCCTCCAAGGTCTCCACGGAGTCACCTGTCCATGAGGCTCCTGGGTCTTTACAAATAGAAGGCGGAGGCACCTGCAGGGAGTCGTCTAGGTTTAGACTTTGCTATGGCCGGGGCTAGAGTCCCATCTGCTGCCAACTCCAGTAACATCCGTGAGAAAAATCCCAGCTCGGGAAAGGCAATGCTTACTTTATGCTCACACTTCAGAGAGAGTACGGTTGACCAACACAGGCTTGAACTGCATGGGTCCACTTATGCATGGATTTTTGTCAAAGTCACACCACGTGTGCCTGCCTCCCTGTCCGTCTCTTCCGCCTCCGCCTCCTCCGAGACAGCAAGACCAACCTCTCTTCTTCAGCCTACTCAACATGAAGGTGACAAGGATGAAGACCTTTATAATGATCCACTTCCACGTATGAATATATTTTTTCTCTTCAAGATTTTAACTTTTTTCTCTAGCTTATTGTAAGAATATGGTATATAATACCTCTATGAAATATATGTAAATCGACTATTTATGTTGTGGCTAAGGTTTTTGGTCAACAACAAGCTATTTGTAGTTAAATCTGGGGGTAGTCAAAAGTTATATGTGGATTATTATTATTTTTTTTCCAAGACAGGATGTTACTCTGTCACCTGGAATAGAATGCAGTGGCATCACCACAGCTCACAGCAACCTCAAACTCCTGGGCTCAAGTGATCCTCCCACCTCAGCCTCCAGACTAGCTGGGACTACAGATACATACCACCACACCAGGATAATAATTTTTTAATTCTTTGTAGAGATGGGAGTCCATGTTGCTCAAACTGGTCTCGAACTCTTGGCCTCAAGCAGTCCCCTCCTGGGCTTCCCCTAAAGTGCTAGGATTATAGGCAGGAGCCACCTCACCTGGCCAAAAGTCACACAAGGATTTTCAATTACATGAGGGGTTGGTGGCCCTAGCCTCTGTTTTGTTCAAGGGTCAACTGTATGTACTTGTTAAGATTCCAAATGTCTCTAAGTTTCAGATCACAGCTTCCAAGGCAAGAATTTCTCTTCTCCATCCTCACACTGCCAGTGGCTTTAGTTTGAAAGCAACTCAGACAAGGCTCTCCCAGGGATGTGGCCCTGTCTGGAACTTGGAGGTTGGTGAGAGCTAAAGGAAGGAACAGATCTAACAAAAATCCTTCTCGTTTATTTCAAAAATGCAAAAAGGGAAGTTGGAGAAGAGAACATGGCTTACATTGTATTCAACCGGGGGACGAGGAGGTATGGCAGCTGCCGGGTTATCCAAATAAATTATCTGGCTTGCTCCGCCCACTCGTGAGTGACTCACTCTATCTAGAATCTAATCTCAGGAGAGGCTCAGCCCTCACTGGACATTCTCCTTCCCGTCACCTGGGGCACCTGTGGGGATAAGGGTAGTCTCTCTACATACTGGTTTGAACGAACACAGGGAGAACTGCTAATATGTACAAATGCACATGTCCAGGGAGGGAAAAGGCAGGGAAGAGGAGGAAAGAAGAGAAAACATCGGCTCACAGGTTTCCGGGTGCAGACGCTGGCGGAGCAGGCTGGGCACTCGCTGCACACAACCACATCCACACGGACCACCAGGCATTTTGATAAGGCAAGTTTTTCTCACCTCTTTCCTTCCCTCCTATACCTTAATTCTTCCTCTAGCCCCAGCCCTTTGAGTACTAGAGGAACCGGGAGGTTAGGAGTCTCCCAGGACCAGCTTTGGAGAGAGATTCTGAAGTAGACAGTCAGCAGCTACAGCAAGGGAGACTTGTGTTGCTTAAAACGGAAGGAAGGGATTTAGGACAAGTGAATGAAACGGGCTGAGGGCCTTGTCTTCTCGGGGGAGGGAAGATCGAGAGAAAAGGCGGGAAAAGCCAAGCCGGAGACCGCCAGACCTATATGCTCAGAATTGCAAAGCCAGAGCAAGACGGGAAAACAGAACGCGACCCAGAGCCCGGGACTGACAGCCACACAGGGCCACGGCTATCACGAGACACACGCAGCTCCAGGGCAGGGGTCAGAGTCCGAGGGCCTGGGCACGATGCTCCGGGCTGCCACCCTCTCAGCAAACTCCTCCCAGGGATCCATCGGGCAAGGGTCCCAGACGCTGGGAACCGATTTCTAGATTAATTAAACACTAATAACTAGTTTAGCTCCAGACTAAAGATATCTGAAGTTTTTTTTTTTTTTAGGAATCCTGCTTCTCGGACCCCATGCCCCTCTAAAAGGTGTCAGGGTAGAGCCCTAAATCTAAGATGGCTGCTGCAGACTGGCCTGGGACTTCAACCTCTACTGCCCTCTGTTGGCCACGAGGTGGAGGGGAGGTCAAGATGCTCCCTTCCTCGCAGGTGTGGAACCTGAGCGGTCCTGTCTCAGGATGCTAGGGGCAGATAAACTTTCAGCAGCTTCCATCGGAACCTCTAGAAGGCATTACCTTCCTAGAGGTAGGCTGGGGACGCGGGGAACGCACAGGGACCCACGTGAACTCAGAGCATGACAGCCCAGGTGCTGAGCCGGTGACTGCCAGGGTGGCCTGCTCACAGGGAAGGATGGCAGTGCCCGGCCGCCACTAGAAGCTCCCTGGCTGGAGTCCCCAGAGGCAGAGGCCATCCTGCCTCTTAACTTGGAAGGCAACAGAGCACGTCAGGGAGGTTGGAGAAGGCCCACCGCCCGGGCGGAATCCCACACCGCAGAGTTCCGTTGCTTGAGACATGGGCTGTATTTGTAGGGGTGGGGAAACAGTGGGACGAGTTACAGAATCGGGGAGGAACCAGAGGCCAGGCGCTGCGGGTGCCGGGACCCCCTAGAACTCCTCATTCTCATCCTCTCCGTCCATAGACTCCGCGCCCACTTCTTCATAATCCTTCTCCAGGGCGGCCAGGTCCTCGCGGGCCTCGGAGAACTCCCCTTCCTCCATGCCCTCGCCCACGTACCAGTGCACAAACGCCCGCTTGGCGTACATCAGGTCGAACTTGTGGTCGAGGCGGGCCCAGGCCTCGGCGATGGCCGTGGTGTTGCTCAGCATGCAGACTGCCCGCTGCACCTTGGCCAGGTCGCCCCCGGGCACCACGGTGGGGGGCTGGTAGTTGATGCCAACCTAAGAAGAAACAGGAAGTAGCATCAGTACCCGGTTCTACATTTCCTAGAAGGGGTCTGTACCAGGATCCCTATAGGCCGGGCGTGGTGGCTCACGCCTGTAATCCTAGCTCTCCGGGAGGCCGAGGCGAGAGGATCGCTCAAAGGTCAGGAGTTTGAAATCAGCCCGAGCAAGAGTGAGACCCCCGTCTCTACTAAAAATAGAAAGAAATTAATTGGCCAACTAAAAACATACATAGGAAAAATTAGCCGGGCATGGTGGCGCATGCCTGTAGTCCCAGCTACTGGAGGCTGAGGTAGGAGGATCGCTTGAGCTCAGGAGATTGAGGTTGCTGTGAGCCAGGCTGACACCACGGCACTCTAGCCTGGGCAACAAAGTAAGACTCGGTCTCCAAAAATAGTAAAAAATAAGAAAAATTAAAAAAAAAAGGGATCCCAATAACGGGAAGGGGCAGTCACTTGGTGTCTGGCATTTGCCAACGTGTACGAAACATGGAGACAAAGGAAGACCACCACCACAAGGAAACACACACCCAGAATGCGGGAACTTCTACAAGACCAGTCCCTTCAAGGTCACTTTCAGGAAAAACTATTTTATATTAATGGACTATTTTATATTAATAGACTTGAGACAAATAAGCTAACACTTTTTCCTTGATTAGATCTCAACTTTGAAAAACTGACTATAAAAAACATTTGTGGCAACTGGTAAAGTTTGAATACTAATAAAGCATTCTTATTTGGGGGAAGTACTATTAATTGTTAGGTATACAAACAGATGTGTGTTACGTAGCTATATAAGTGAATTTAAATGGATCAGCAAAGCAAAAATAAAGGAAACATACATTTATATGTTAAATCCAGGTAGTAGGTTATACACACACACACATTTTCTTTTAAGACAGAGTCTCATTTTGTTGCCCAGGCTTAGAGTGCCATGGCATCAGCCTAACTCACAGCAACCTCAAACTCCTGGGTTCAAGCAATCCTCCTGCTCAGCTCTCCGTGTAGCTGGATCTACAGCATGTGCCACCATGCCTGGCTTTTTTCTATGTATTTAGTTGGCCAATTAATTTCTTTCTATATGAAGAACAGGTCTCGCTCCGTGCTCAGGCGTGTCTCGAACTCCTGACCTTGGCGATCCTCTCTCAAGCCTCCCCAGAGTGCTAGATACAGCATGAGCACCGCGCCCGGCCTATATATATATATGATATATATATGTATAAAGTTGTATAGCTCTCTACTTTGTGTTAGAAAATAGTTTTAAAAATATTAAAAACTCCACAAAGATCTCCAGTTGTAGAAATACCTACTTTAAACATTGATCTATCCAGAATATATAAACATTTCTATTCATTTCTCTCCCTCCACTCAAAAAAAAAAAAAAAAAAAAAAAAAAAAAAAAAGGTCAACTTCCCATTAATGCCTCTAAGACAGATGAATACTCCTAAGGCCATTCTCCTGAGTGGCTAAACTTTTCCTATATGGAGGCAGAAACAGTCTGCGCCCGACTACGTGTCTCTAGCCTGGCTGCAGGACAGCTCTTCACGCTGAGCACAGCTACTTCTGTTGCTTGACCAGGGTCCTGCCTTGCCTCCCTTCTCCCCATCTCTCTTTTT